CCCATCCCGTTGTACCAAGAGAGTGGTATCACGCGTGAGTATGTGAACAAGTCGTGTTAATAGAGGGGGGATTTGAATCGTCATAGGCGCAGGTTTGTCGGGACGTCTAGCATGGAATTCTTGAAGGAATTCTTGACAATTGGTCAAGTTCGCCCGTGATTCCCAGGAGCGGCGATCGTTGTAGGGGCTGTTCTTCCAGAGAACCTGATACTCCAAGTTTCCGTTTCAATCACGACGGGAGTCAAGAATGTCTTCAACTTCCTATTCTTCCTCGCCATTTACGAGGTCAGGGACTATCAGTTCTCGTCGTTGTGAGGGGTACGTGGGTTCTTTGAAGGGGCTAAGGAGGCTTTCATTGAAAACGGGGTGTTGTTTCCATTGATGTGGGAGTTCCAATTCATAGGCGGAAGCACCAATTTTGCGTTTGACCTTGAAGGGTCCATATCGCTTATCATTCAGCTTCTTCATTGGCCTGTCTGTTCAGATGTTTATCCCTTCTAGCCAAACTTTATCCCCCACTTTGTACTCCAGTCCGCTCTTCCTCTTCCTGTCGTAGAAGTGCTTCATGGTTTCCTGTGCTAGACTGATAGCCGCGCTAGTGTCTTCACGTACTCAATCCATTCTGTCAACAAACTGTTGGACATTCTCGCTTAGTCCTTCTCGCACCGGTTGGGTTCCCTCATAAGGGTGGTACCCTTTATTGACGAAGAACGGAGTATATCTGGTGGACAAATGAACTTTATTGTTATACGAAAAGGCCGCGAGTGGCAACCATTCGGCCCAATCTGCTTGTCGGTAGTTGATGAACAATTGGAGGTATTGTTCTATCTCGCAATTGATGCGTTCCGTCTGCCCGTCTGTCTGGGGGTGATACGCGGTCAAAGGATTGGCTTCGATTCCGAGGGATCGGTACAACTCAGAGATGAACTGATTCTTGAATTCAGTTCCTCTGTTGCTTATAATCTTTCGGGGTAATCCATGATGTGCGACTACGTTATCTTGGAGTGCCTTTGCCCATTCTTCAGTGTTGAGCTCAATGGTGCTTGGTATCGCAATTATCTGTTTAGAGTACATGCAGACGATTACGAGGATAGCGTTGTATCCGAAGGATTCCGGTAGTACGCCTATCTTGTCCACGGAGATTACTTCCCAGGGTCGCGAAGGGATTTTGTTTGGGAATAGAAGTCCAGTAGGTCATGTTGTATGAACCTTGGTCTTCTGGCATTTCTCGCACCCTGCCACGTACTTCCTGATATCTTCTCGAATTCAGGGCCACCAGTAGTTACGTGTGACCATTTCATGTGTTTTGTATTGACCAGGATGTCCAGCTAATGGGGTATCATGGTGATGAGCAATGATTTGTTCACGGAGTTTTCTATTTACTGGTACGTAAATACGGTTCTTCCATGTCACGAGTCCAGTACTATCTTCGTCCCAGTCTTTGTCCTTATTCTGTAAAGCTACGGTAACTAGCGAATCTCGGTTCTTTTTGTGTTTTTTAATTTCTGCGACCCAGTCCTGGTCGATTCCTTCTAAACTAAATACAGTACTACAAATCAGGGCACGAAAATGTTCTGGTTTTAGTAATAGAATATCTGAATTGTCCTCTTTTCCTGCATTGTGCCTTTTTTGGCGAAATAGTCTGTCTGCTTTGCCATTAGATTTACTGGGCTTGTGATGCAACGAGTATTGATATTCAGCCAACTCAGTTACCCATCGGGCTTGCTGCCAGTTAAGCTTCTGCGGTTTCCGGAAGTATTCTAGATTCTTGTGATCTGTCCATATTTTGAACGGATGTATGGCGCCTATGAGATACTGACGCCACTCATCAAGACTAGTCATGATCGCGAGAAGTTCCTTATCGTAAATCTCGTAATTTCTTTCGGCAGCTGTCATGGCTTTCGACAGGTAAGCAACAGGCTTTCATTTGCCATCTTGCTTCTGGGCTAATTTTGCTCCTACAGCAAAGTCCAATGCGTCGCATTCTACTCGGTACGGGTCGTTGTCATTGGGTATGGCTAGCACTGGCGCAGTGCAGAGAGCGTTCTTTAGGCTTGTAAAGGCTACTTCTTGTTTGACGGTCCATTCGAAAGTAGCATTGCCTGTTAGCAAACTGAGCGGTTTTGCTATTTTGCCATAATCCCGGATGAACCTTCGGTAGAAGTTGGTGAATCCAAGGAATGCCTGAATATCTCGTTTGCATTCGGGCCGCGGCCAATTGACAACTCCTTCTATCTTGACTGGGTCCATGTGAACAACTCCTTTTCCTACTATCATCCCGAGGTATTCTATCTCTGCTTTCTCGAACTCGCACTTTTCCGGTTTCAGATAAAGTTTGTATTCCCTTAAGATCTGAAGAACTTGCTGCGTGATCCGACGGTGTTCTTTCAGATCTTGAGTGAAGATCATGATGTCATCTAGATAGACTACCACGTGTCCTTGACTGATGAGATCTCGGAATATGTCGTTCATCATGGTTTGGAATGTAGCTGGGGAATTGGTAAGACCCAAACACATGACAAGTGGCTCGAATAGTCCTCGATTCATTAGGAATGCTGCCTTCTCTTCGTTTCCCTCTTTGATGCAGATATTGTTGTATCCCCATCAGACGTCTAGTTTCGTAAAGTACTGCGCCTGCTTCAATTTGTCCACTAGTTCCTGTATCAAAGGAAGTGGGTAGCGGTTTTTTATCGTCAGCTCATTCAGCTTTCAATAATCTTGTACGGGTCGAAGTCGTCCATCTTTTTTCTTGACGAAGAAGAACGGAGAAGCCCACGGAGATTTTGATGGTCAGATTCTCCTGGTTCGGAGGTTCTCTTCTATGAACTCATCAAGTTCTTTCTGTTCGTTTACAGAGATAGGATAAACCTTGCAACTGATCGGTTGCGCGCCTGGTGTGAGTTCGATTGCATGGTCCCACGGTCACCTTTGTGGTAAAGAGTCAAGGTCTTCTTTGCTAAATACGTCAGAGTAATCGTGATAGTGACTCGGGACGGTATTTTCAAAGGTCTTGGCTTTGTGTTTCAGGCTTTCTTTGATCGCTAGATCAGTGGCTGTGGTGCAAATACGTGCTGCTCCCGTTGCAAAGTACGTTTCATGGTCTAGAATGAAGATTCTATCCCCTTCTTCTAGGCGAGCCTCTGGATCACTGGGCTCTTCCTGATCGACATCAATATCAATTAATCGGGCGGCATATTTGCAGGTAATCGGGCACCGATCAAACTGAATGACTTGTTCCTGCCAATCGATAGATGGGTTGTGAATCTGTAACCACTCATATCCAAGGAAGATTGGAGTCTTCCCTAAATTGGTAATGGCAAACGGAAGCTGTTCAACGTGGTCCTGAATTTCCACCCTTAATTCAACAAAGTTGGTGATCGCTCCACCGGCATTATGCATTCCGTCCGCGTTATAGACAGGGATCAGTGATGGCAGTTTCTTTGTGGCGATGTTGTTATCACGGACAAACTGCGCATCAATTGAAGATCCAGTGCATCCTGTGTCTAATAACGCTTTGACTGATAAGCGTTTCTGCGTGTCCAGGGTGGTTATGATCATGGGGACATCCATCTGTGTCCCCTTCCTTCCTCGGATGAATCGAGGCTGCTTTTGTAATTCATTCAAGAAGTCTATAGCTTCTTCTTCTTCCATTTGCCTGATTTGGTTCATACAGGCTTCAGAGGCATCAACACTCTTCTTTGAGTGTACCCATTCAGTTAACAATCTAAGCGCCGAGGCTTCTTTGCTGATTATCCATTGGCAGATCCAAGCTGCCGTCCAAGGTGTGTGGCGCTGCCACTGCGTAGATTTGGTCTGATGTTCTGGTGTAGGCAATAATTTTTTATTTGGGGGAATTAAGCAAGAGGGTTGTGCCTCTCCGCGCCGCTCTGCGGACGCCCCTTTTTCTGGTATATACATGGGTACACCAAACCAGGAACACAGATAGTTTGTAAAGTTACGCTCGGTCAACTCAGCTACGCACCTTGCTGACCGCTTGCAAAACCCTTCATGGCCGCACGAATTTCTTTGCAAATTGCCGCCTTCCAGTCAAATGGTTCTGCCGTCGCGGCAGGAGCTTTGTTAAGCAACGCGAGTGGTGTGAATGCATTGGTAGTAGGAACTACCGGGGTTTCCGCTGCCCATACTTGCTGGGCTTGTTGCCGATTAGGGCAGTTGCACGAAAGATGACCCTTTTCTCCACATCGGAAGCAAAGGCTCAGGCGTCGTGCCTGGTCTAGCTCCATTGGCTGGCCTCTGCCGCCAAATGTGACACCTGTCCCATCGCGGCGTGTCTGAACCGGGGCGTTTGCAGTTGGCGCGGCCACCGTAGTCTGTGCTCGTGGTGCACCTTGTGTCTGCTGCTGCCGAGGCTGGAGTTGTCCTTGCCGCTGGGATTGTGGGTTTCGCCGTTGGTACTGCTGCTGGTTTAGGTCGATGTGCGCGACCTGTAGCTTGTAGAGCGCATATGTGGTGGGTAGTTCTTCCGATAAATTGTACAGAAGCCGAATGATGTCAGCCCGGAGTGCTTTTTCTAAAAGTGACTTGAGTTCCTGGAAATGCACTTCGAAGTCGTGAATATTTGCCTGGAAGGCGCACAACTCAAACTTCGAGAAGAACTCCTGCGCCGACAGCGTCCCCATCTGCATTGCTTGGAGCCGATCGTATGCTTCGGCTTGCTCATTGATTAAGAAATGCCTGTCTAAGTCTTCCCATAGTGCCTTCGTGGTCTATATCACGGCGTTCTCATCCGTGTCGTACTTTTTCATGAATGTGGCGACGTATTCGCCCGCATGTCCCCCTTTCATGTAAGACAGGATCATGAGGACCCTGTCAAACTGTTCTGGTAGCTGCTTCCTTTGCGTGACTACGTACAATTTCATCTGCGTCTTCCAAGCAATGTACTTGGATTTTGTGCCATCAAAGGCATCGGGCTTCATTGCGCTTCCATTTAGGAACGCGGCACTGTCTTGATTCTCGGCCATCGCGCCGGGATCAGATGGGGACGAGGGTGGAGTGGGAGAACGACAAGAAGGTGGATTCGAGGCTTTAGAATCTTCTACTGCTTCTTCCACGGGGTTTGGTGGGCCCTCTGGTGGTGCTTCGGATTCTCCGAGGGCGATTGAGCAGAGATGGTCAGTGACCGATTCGAGAGTGTCTCGTCTGGTTCTGGGTTCTGAACCAGATGCTATGGGTTGCGGGACTGCGAGAGATTCTGAGGGTACTCCTGTGGGAACTCTTTGTAGCAGTTCTCCACATAGTCCTTCCCTACACCGAGGACAACGATTGCTATTATCCGGAGAGTGTGGGCACGGTTGTTGCGCGCAGTACCGTACGTTATTGCCGCGTATGTAGATGGATCTTCCCTCTAGTTCTCGATGTGTATGTCCTCTACAATCGCAAGAAGGCGTGGTCATAGGGTGTCGGGTCCGTGGAGCTAGTTGCAGCAAACCCTGGGACTAATCGTGTTGTAACGACCAGATCAGGGGTAGAATTTGCCAAAGACGGAAATTTCTGAATAAGAACCGAAACGCTAATTGTAATACAGTTCTAAAGATACTGTAGCAGCCCAAAGAGCAATTGTGTCTCTTCGGTCCGACGCTCTCAAAGGGATCGTCGATCTAACTGCTACCGCTTTTCCGACGCCCGGTCGCAACCGGTTGCCACGTCGTACTCAGGAATATCCGCTTGCGCTGCGCAAAGCGTTTAACACCACCTATGGTAGGGCAGTGTACGATTCTAATTGGACGGAGCTCTGTCTAGCCGCCTAAGGGCTAGTGATTACAGAGGTGACTTCGGGGATGTGGTATGGTAAAAGGTTGTGCAAATGCACAGAGAAGGGTTCCAGGGGTCCGGGTCTTGATGCGGTAGAGTTCGGTAGGGTTAGGATTTAGGGTGAGAGTCGGATGTGCTTATAGGGTGGATCGTCGTGTGGAGATGGGTGATGGTTGGTGTGGGAGTGACGAGGATTGTCGTAGGGCAGTTGGTGGAGACTCGAGCTAATGTCAGCAACTAACAATCCAACTGGACTGAGCTACGACAAAGCTGAGGAGACAGACAAGAGGAATGTGAGTGAGAAAAGACCAGCTCGAGTCTGGCTTGTTATTGAGCAATACGAGCTCCTTATATACATGTCAGACTGAATATCTAGAATATCCTACGAATATACGGAGGTGTATGGAAAGTGAAAGAATACTATAGAATCCGGGAGAACCATCTGGATTGTGTAATATTCATGACACGGGGCAGCGCCGAGAGCTCGC